CAGGGGGGGAAAAAAACAAAACAACACACACACACACACACTTACACACACACACACAGCACCCACTTCATGCATCATCTCCTCCATTCACACACACAGACTCACTGCAGAAGATGCAGCAGCTTAAATAAATAATATATTTATAGAAACCAGCACAAAATGTTCAGTTTGTTTCGAACCTCTCAGAGAACAATAACCCAGCTGATTCTTGTTTTTCTCCACGGCTACGTGATGCAGCGACAAAGACATGAATGGAACGAACACACACTACTCCCTGCATCACGTCACACACTTCACACGTCCAAACAAACGACAGAGAGAACGGCGTGTCCGCGGGCTCCGGTGTTTACCTGCTGTCAGGTGCAGCTGTCCTCTTCAGCAGTGAAGGAGAGAGGGATGAATGGACGTGCACTGCTCTCACAAACAGGTAGCTGACTACATTATGAGTATGAATGAAGAGGACGGGACACTATCAGCCCCCCCACCCACACACACACACACACACTCCCTCCCTCCTTCTCAGCGTGTCTCTTTCAGGTCAAAGTGAAGCAGCACCTCCTCATTTGGAAGTTGACGTAAGCTTGTTTCTTTTGGCAGCTGGCACGGTGCTAAAGGGTGTGGGGTTATTTCATATTTCCTAAAAACAGTTTCCACCATTCAGCTGGTGTCCACTGGAAAAACTAAGAATGTAAGGACAGAGGTTCTGGTTTTTTAATAGATCCTCCGGAGAATGGTCCAACTGTGACATCACTCTCTGCTCCGTTATGCCACCGATTCACTAATGGCTGACGTCTCCTCTCACAGACGTGTGGAGCTTTGAGGAAACACCAGCCAGAGGGCAGACAAAGACTGTAAGCTGCTCATCTGAGAAAGGATCAGATGGTTGCTACAAGTGGAGTGTGACGATTCAAAATCTAACCAGGCACAGGGGAGGGAGCAGCCAGAGGGTTTGAACTACTGTTTGAGACTGACAGGAAGCAAAGACCCACCTCACAGTCACTGCAAAAACTGTCCATCTAATCAAGTTTTAAAATCTTATATCAGCCAAAAAGTCTTTTTGATCTTGTTTT